GCAGCCTAAAATTGCATTGGCCTTTTTAGCTGCTGCATCGCACTGTTCTTAGGGTAGCTGATGACGCAGATTTGTCTGCTCTCCCCTTTTCTCTCTGTTTTGCTCTTTATACATGCTCAATAAGGATTCTGGAGGCCATCTCTGTTTACCTTGCAGGCACACATGGCTATATTAGGACTAGCTATAGTAAAACCCTGCTGTCCCCCAGCTCAAGATTTACTGCATTATTTACTGCACACGCTCTGCTGCAAACTGACACTGCAATTTCGGTGTTTCTACACCTCTCCTTCACCATCCTCCCGATGCTGATGCTACTAAAAAACTTCTAGCTAGACAAAGAATGAGGAGGAAAAAGGACTGAGCAGGCACAAATGGAGTTCATTGTCAGAGGCTTTGGTAAGGGAGGTATGCTTGTATTTATTGTACACGCTCTGCTGCAAGCTGACATTGCAAGTCTGCATTTCTCCAGTCCTCCTTTACCATCCTCCCAATGCAGATGCTACTAAAAAACCTCTAACTAGACAGAGGACAAGGAGGGGAAAGTGAGCTAAGCAAGCTTAAAACAACTTTCTAAAAAGGAGCTTCATTATCAGGGGCTTAGGTAACTGAGGTATGTCTGTATTGAGTTGTGTTTGTATTAGGATTATTTATGGATGTACAAAACAATCTAGTACAGGGTGGCCAGGTATTCTAACCACAAAGGAGGACCAGGCATTGCAAAATGTAGGATATTCAAGAAAATGTGGGACGTGACAAAGTCAAAGCAAAAAATGCTTTAAGATAAATGCAAATCCATGCGTCTTAGACATGCTTAGTCAAATGGAGGACATTTTGGAATTCCTCCTGGACAGAAGGTTGGAATGGAGGATGTGTCCTGGAAAAGGAGGCCCTCTGGTCAATCTGATCTAGTAGAGGTATTAAGTTATGTGTATTTTGCACAGGGAATATAGTTATTAAAGGCTGCATCCACACTGGAGAAATAATCTGGTTTGACACCGCTTTAACTGCAATGGCTCAGTGCTATGGAATTCTGGGAATTGTAGTTATGGCTCCAGAGTGGAATTACATAGAATTGAGTCATGGCAGTTAAAGTGGTGTCAAACTGGATTATTTCTCCAGTGTGGATGCAGCCAAAGTTACAAATGAAAATGATAGGGAAATCATTTTACCATTTCCCTATCATTTTCTGATAGAAATATGATAGGGAAATAAATAATAATAATAATAATAATAATAATAATTCATTCTTGAATTGCTCATTCACAAATGCTGCCACTTAAATTTCTTCCTGTTCTTTTCCATGGTCATCCATTTTCTTCTCCTGCTGTTGCTTAGATGACTGACTATACAAGGAAAGCAATGGTTTTGGTACACATTACTCTCAGATATATTTGCACAAAGGGCAATGTTACCCAAGCAGATTAAAGAATTAAAACATGGTGTTTTAAATCTAATCGTGTAGACCTGTTTGAATTGATGGGAATATTTTGTATATAAGTCCACTGATGCAACTTCTTTATAGGGGCTAACAGTTGGATTTAGGCCAGTAATAATAATGATTGTAGTAGAGTAAAAGGGAAATGCCCAGCGAATGAATGCTTCCTGAGGCTAAGTACTGTGGAAAAATATGTATCAAGCATAAATCAAGAGGTAGGGAGGACAAATAATTCTCCCATTTAGGAAGTTATGTGAAATGGAAGGACCTGTGGAGTACAGCGAGTTCAATGTCCTTCCGAATGCTAAGGGCTTTGGGCAGATGCCACCAGACATATGGCCAGCTTGAATCAGAGGGACCCCTGGTCAGGTCAAAAGGGCTTGCCAATAGTCATTAACACAATTTCATGAAGTGCTTGTGGACAGAGGACTTCTAGCATCACAAGTCAAGACATTGGGCAGCTGTTCCATCTTCCCTTTCTCCAAAAACGGCTGCAATCCTTTATGAAGAGACTTCGGCTGCTGCCACACTGCAGAGCTAATGCAGTTTGACACTGCTTTAACTGTCAGGGCTCCATCCTATGGAATCCTAGGACTTGAAGTTTGTTGCGGCACCAGAGCTCTTTGACAGAGAAGGCTAAATATCTCACCAAACTACAGATCCCAGAATTCCATAGCATTGCACCATGGCCGTTAAGGCGGTGCCAAACTGCATTAATTCTGCAGTGTAGATGCAACCAGAGAGAGGTGTATAGGTCAAAGGTTTGGTCGTTTTCTAAAATTGTTAACTGGACCATTTTACAGAAGAGTTGTTATACAATGGATATTTGTCCACAGCTTGTAAGATCAAACTGGATTAATTCTGAAGTGTAGATGCAGTCAGTTGTGAGATGCACCATGATAGTCTCTTGCCCAGCCCACACCCACAAGTGTCCAGCTATTTTTCTATAGCTAAATGGACAGTGATAGGTATCCACAGAGACCTCTGGATGTTCCTAGAGATGATGACATTGCGCTGCATTTATGAGCTTGTAGCTATAAGAAAATAGCTTCCCCAGTTCTCCCTCAATGAAGAAATGGCTGGATTAGGAGGGCTGCAGCTGAGAAAATATGGGTTTGGAGGGATCTGGGTCATTGCATGGGCGCTGAATTTCAACCTCCACAATGATAATAATAATAAAAAAAAGTGAATTATGACTGCATACATCTAAAAAGTCACCAAGAGGATACCAGTGAAGATACTGAGAAAACACAAATGGATGACGAAGAGGCTTGGTTGTTATTGTTGTCGTTTGCCTTCAAGTTGTTTCTGACTTATGGTGACCCTAAGGTGAACATATCATTGGGTTTTCTTGGCAAGACTTGTTCAGAGGAGGTTTGCCATTACCTTTCCCTGAGGCTGAGAGCATGTGATTTGCCCAGTGTCATTCAGTGGGTTTCATGGCCATGCAAGGAGCTGAACCCTGGTCTCCAGAGTCGTAGTCCAACACTCAAACCACTAGGCAACACTGGCTCTTGGACTTCCTCTAAAACTACATGGATGAAATAGGATATCTGCATAATAAAAGCCTCATCTGCAAGGACCTCCAGATTCTACCTCTCTCTTTTCTTCTATAGTTCAAGTACTGCACGTGAGTGTTTTCTCAACAGTTTAGCAAACCAGAGCTGGAAATATCTTGAGCAAGAAGGAAGAGAACCAGTCAGTCTTTTGTTGAAAGAGGCTACTGCCACAATGCACAATTAATGCAGTATGATACCATTAACTGTCATGGTTCCATCCTATGGAATCCTGGGCTTTGTAGTTTGACGTGGCACCAGAGCTCTCTGTCAGAGAAGGCTAAATAGATCACCAAACTACGAATCCCAGAATTTCATAGCATTGAGCCATGGCAGTTAAAGCCATGTCAAGCTGCATTAATTTTTCAGTGTAGATGCAACCAGAGAGAGGTGTACAGGTCGAAAGTTTGGTTGTTTTCTCAAATGGTTAACTGGACCATTTTACAGAAGAGTTGTTTGTCCATAACTTGTAAGGTCCTTGTACTCTTTTTTAAAACTCCAGGACCAGTAATTGCCCTTTTGAAATACTTGCTTACAAGCTGAAGCCAACAATTGAATGGTTATTGCTTGGGAATAGTAAATAGCAGCAGCAGGGGGGAAAAACCAACCCAAACAAACCCTTTGACATGTTCAAGATTGCTTAACTGAATCAATTGTAGGGAACCAGCTTAATGGTTACTTAGTGGAGTTTAAATAAAGAAAGAGCATATAGCTCAGTGGTTCTATACAATGCTGAACAAGAATGGCTTTTTTGGCTTTAGAGCAGTGGCCAAGCAACTGCATTTGAGAAGTGAATAAGACATTCATTCTGCCCAGTTGGTCCAGTGCATCTGGTATCCAGGGATATAATGCTTCTTCTCACTACGGAGTCTCCATTTAGATACCATGTGTGATAACAAATGATTGACTTATCCTCCATGATTTTATTTGATACTTCATTACCACCACCACCACCCCCCCAGGATACAGAGCGAATGAATATTTTGTAGAAACATTCATTTCACGCCTAACTGATACCAGTAACAATTAGGCAACAGATCCACAAAGGATTCAAAATGGTGCCTTTGGTGTTTAAAAATAACCACTGCTTGTATTGTCTGGGTATGTAGCTGAGAATAATGGAAGTTGTAGTCTACCATATGGAGAGCACCAGCTTGGGGAAGGTTACTGTACCCTATGTAGCTAAATATCAGCTCCAGCCCAAGTCATTTGAAGTACTGTATTTTCCCTTACGAAACTCATATATTTTTAGATCTCTTGGAAGTGGGGTCCCTTTTTCTGTCCCACCACCCTCATGGGTACATCTGGTGGGAACACGGGAGAGGGTCTTCTCAGTAGAGGGTCTTTCCTTCCCAGAGAAGTTACTGGCACTCTCCCTACTTTGTTTTCCCAGACTAGTAAAGACTTTTCTGTTTTGATAGTCATTTGATAAGTGATTATTTAAGGCCTGTCTTATGTAAGCAATGCCCTGATGATGTATATTTTAATCTGGTTTTAATTTTTTCTTATTCAATCTCAATTTAACTTTTGTATCTTGTGAATTTTCAATGAAGTGTTTTTAATTTGTTGTCAGCTGCTTTGAATCACGAACTGGGAAAAAGGTAGGATAGAAATAAATATAACAACACCGTGTTTCATCTCAGGCATGCACAACTAGTGACCCAAACCAAAAACAGCTCCTTATCCACTTGTTGTTACCCACCAGTTGCTTAAATACCCTACCTCCCTGTTTTTGCAAGTTTGGGCAAGGTGGAAAATGTGAGAATCATAGAATCTTGGAGTTGGCAGGGACCATAAGGATCATCAAGTCCAATCCCTTGCTATGCAGGAATACACAACTAAAGCACTCCTGAAAGAGAAAAAGAAATGTCTGTTCAAAAATCTCCAAAGATGGAGAGTCTGCCATCTTCTGAGTCCATCTATTCCACTGTTGAACATCTTCTGCTTATCAAGCACTGACAAGCTACTTGGCAACACTGATAGGCTTCCTATGGCTTGGTGTGTATGTGCAGCCCTGTCCCAGATGCTCAGAGTGTCAGTTTTGAGTTGTATGGTGAAATCTCATAAATGTTTTTTGTGTTTTTGCAAGATCTAGTCTGTCATCCTTGATGTCTTGGCTGGTTGGCATGTAATTTTGGACCAATTTGGTCATCTAGAGCATTGGTTCCCAACCCCCGGTCCGCAGCCCGGTACCGGTCCGCAGAACAAATGGTACCGGGCCGCCCTGCTACTGTGTCTTCTGTGCAGCGGCGGCGGCGGGTCCTGCGACTTTTGCGAGTCCTGTGAGTCCCGATAATAAGCGCAGGGATGGGACTCCTGCGTCTGCCGACATGCCCCGGCCCAGCTGATCAACGTGGGGCTGGGGCTTCTGTGCGTGGCTTTAGTGAATGCGACACCGCAACCCCCCCCCAGTGGGCCGCGGAAAAATTATCAAATGTTGACCGGTCCATGGCAATAAAAAGGTTGGGGACAACTGATCTAGAGTACATTTGTTTCTCATAATGATGATTCCATCTGTACAACTTGGAATCAAATTAGTCCTCAGAATTGAATTAATCATATTTGGGGATTCAGTTAAGCACTGAATATGATTAAAATCTAATGTGGACACCTGCCAGAGAGTGTCACAGGATGCACTGGAAATAGGGCAAAATAAATCGCCCAGCACTGCACATGGAGCATGAGCATATGCACATTGGCACTCTCTCTGTGCACAGCAGACACTTCTACGGCAGATGTCAGCTGTGGGACAGTGTCATAAAAAAACCCAAATTCGGCCAAATGGGTCAGTTGAAACTACAAAATGTCCTGACTATTTAAACAAAGTTTTATTTAAAGTATGTCTTTAACATCAGAGAACAACTGCAAAGGACCTTATGGCATGTTAAAGAATAAAAAAACTTTATTTAGCATAAGCTTTGATGGACTGGATTATGAGAAACAAATGCAGCCCACTTCATCAAATGCTGCCTCCTCCTCCCCAGTTGTGTTATTTTTTTTAAAGCAGTTAACACAGGTAAATCACCTGTAACACCCCCAAATGTTAACCTTTTAGATTGCCTTCATCAAGAATTCATTAAACATGCTCACTCTTACTCTTAGATCTCTTTGAGCAGCAATTCTGAGAATAGCTGTAAATTTGCCATGTAGTCCTACCTACTTAGGTGAATCTATCACACAAAATGAAACACCAAATAGTTTGTCATTTTGCTTTAAACAAAACAGCGCATTATGAGTTACTGGAGAAAAAAATTCTTCCATGAATCATTCCTTTGGTCCTATAAAGAATTAATTTTTCAAGACACTTCAAGAAATAGAAAAATGAAATGTCTGCAGACTGAAGACAGCATATCCCTTGTTATTGATGGCAGCATACAAATCTCATAACTCAGGATCGACTACCCATAAGGAAGCTAGGAGCAAAACAGTGCTCCTCATCCTTCATTCACATAAATATTATATTCCATTACATGAACTGGCATTACTCAAATTTCTGATTGCCATTAAAAACCATTTTTCTATATGGGGGCTCTTGTCTTATGTAGTTGTGGAAATATTGCCTCCAAAGTTCCTATCATATCATAAGACTAGTTACATATTCTTTGGATTCTGGACCTTTCTTTTGACTGTATTTTTAACAGCTGAGGTTAAACAGGACTACAGGGTATTTTTGCCCAATCTGGTTTTAATTTTTTCTTATTCAATCTCAGTTTAACTTTTGTATCTTGTGAATTTTTAATGAAGTGTTTTTAATTTGTTGTCAGCTGCTTTGAATCACGAACTGGAAAAAAGGTAGGATAGAAATAAATATAACAACAACAACGTGTTTCATCTCAGGCATGCACAACTAGTGACCCAAACCCAAAACAGCTCATTATCCACTTGTTGTGACCTACAAGTTGCTTAAATACCCTACCTCCCTGTTTTTGCAAGTTTGGGCAAGGTGGAAAATGTTTAGTTGTGTAGTCTGTTTTTGTTACAGTTTTTACAAGTGGTTGCTTTCATTCTCTGGGCATAGGGCAGTCCCATATAGTGTGCAGTGCAGTCTAAACCCAAAGTTATGAGTGTGTTTGGCCTCATATAGATAACCTGCTATGGCCAGGTTATCCAGGTTAGGAAACGCCATACCTGGCAGGCCAGGGGAAGCTGCGCTCAGGGACTCCAGGCCAGAGTCCAACTGGATAGTGTTGATTCCAGGAGTACTCCCAAGAAATGAACCTACTCCAGTGCAGATTGTTTACCTAATTCCTGGACCCAGGAACCAATAATCTACATAATAGTGGGGGATTCAGCTCCAGTTTAATGGCTTCACTTCCTCTCACTCAGTCTACTGTGAAGTATCTGCAATCTTAATTCTGATGGGACAGAGGATAGAATGGATCCCTTGTGGTACCTCACCAATTGATAGCCATGGGGCTGAACAGAAGTATTGTATATGATATAGGTAAGGGCTGAATCACTATAATACAGTTTTTATTTTCTATCCATAAGTCACAGATCCAGTCTAATAAGATACAACAGTCAGGGTATCAAAAACTACGGAGAGATCCAGGAGGACTGACACAGTCCACCATTTTTCTCCCAGAGTAGATCATAAGTTTGTTGTGGTGCCAGAGCTCTCTGACAGAAAAGACTAAACATCTCACAGAACTACAAATCCCAGAATTTCATATCATTGAGCCATGGCAGTTAAAGTGGTGTCAAACTGCATTAATTCTGCACTGTAGATGCAGCCATAGCTTGCCATAGAAAGGTCACCTCAACAAAGCTGCTGTTTCAAAGGAAATGCTGTTGCATTTCAAGAAAACCCAACTACAGGCACCAACAGAGGCTTCCCATGAATGAAAAAGGGAGTTCGGTAAAGAGAATTCTTGTCTCTATTGTAATAGGGAGAGAAAAATGTGAATTTATTTGATCATACCCCATGTTTCCAGACTGTTCATTTCCCCCCCCAAG